TCTACTAAGGTCTCAAATGACCCACTAATTAGATCCAAAGGAAACTCTCCAGTGTTTATCCTTCTAGTACACAACATAGGATGCTGTTCTTCACTCTTCTCATTTAAAGACTCTCCCCCTCTGGGCTTTTACATTACCATTGCTCTCAGCCCCACTTTTAACTGCCCCTTCTCAGTCTTCTTTGAAAGCTATAAACTGGTGTTGCTAATCTCTGGCTCCACTGGAGTGTTTCTCTTGGGCTCTAGACCTGTCTATCCAACTGCCTACTCAATGTTTCGATGCAACGTCCCTTAGGACCTCAACCTTTTCAAAACGGAATACAGTTTCCCCCAAATCTGTCTTAAGAAGTGAAGAGGAGGTGAACGATATTGTTATTGATCATGAACTTCAAGGTAGGAGAAATTTTACATGAATAGAGAAGGGTAGTGTTTTGGTTTTAGAAATGAGGAACTAGACAAATTCTCAAGTCAACTTCTGGTTTCTAGGTACATGGGCCATGGGTAATGAATATCTTCCAAAAAGTGATATCTACAGGACTCCAAGACCTCAAGGGAGAGCCAAATCTCAGTTAGGAGGAGGCTGTAAAGTCTTCAATGAAGAGATCAAGTTGAATTGTTGTTTATTTAAAAAGAAAGCAAGATTTAGAGGGCGCAATGGGGAGAGGAAAGTAGTTGAAAAGAGAAATCACAAAGAATATAAGCATTCACTAAATGTTTGTGTTTCTTGAGGGCAGGGGCAATCATAACTGTCTTTCCATCCTCAGAACATGTCTGGTACATGCTGGACTCTGTGCAAATGTTTGTTATAATGAGACTATTGTAAATGATTTTTAATTATTTTTCATTGGGAAAAGAGTGTGGTGAAAGATACTTTTCTCTTTTGATGAGAAGAAATGAGAAAGGAGGATGATAGCTTTGGGCACTTAGAAGGATATATAATACAACTCTGCAAACACTTACCAATGTCACAGTAGCCACAGTTGAGTGTAATACCCACATCAGTGCATCCTTTCCCCCTAGTCAATTGGATTCATGGACTAAGATTCCCACTGAAGCTGATTCTTTCCCTTTTCCCAGCACTTGTGGGAGACATCTATAATATAGGACAGTTTTTCCAGTGGATATAGCCTGCCCAACACTCTTCCTATAAGTCTATCAGAATAGAAGTTTTGAGGGCCGGCCCGTGGCTCACTCAGGAGAGTGTGGTGCTGATAACACCAAGGCCAAGGGTTCGGATCCCTAGATAGGGATGGCTGGTTAGCTCACTGGGTGAGCGTGGTGCTGATGACACCAAGTCAAGGGTTAAGATCCCCTTACCAGTTGCATCTTTAAAAAAAAAAAAGAATAGAAGTTTTGTCGTGCTGATGACACCAAGTCAAGGGTTAAGATCCCCTTACCAGTCATCTTTAAAAAAAAAAAAGAATAGAAGTTTTGTTAACAGAAATTACATATAATAAGTAATAAGTCAGTCATGATTTATAGAAACTGAAATTTCCCATGCTGCAAATTCCCCACTTTAAAATATTTCACTCTTCACAGCTGAGTAGTGAGGTCACCTCTAGTTTCAGTTTCTCTTCTGCTTAAGTTGCTAAGACTATGCATCCCTGTCTGCTCCTTCCAGCTCCCAGGCCTTCCAGGACTCACAGGCAGCTCTCCTATGTCTGAGGGATTCTTGGCTTTCTGAAATCTGTCACCCATACCTTGTGGCCTTAATGAAAGGAAAAATGAAGTTCCTGTTTTTGTGTGATGCCATTTGCCCCTCTGGTGTGTGGCACTGTCTTCCTCTTCATTTGATAGATTATTTTTTTTGTTAGGCAGAGAGATTCTTTTGCCCTCTCTCCGCCAGACTCTTTTCCCAGCCAATCTGCAGACATCTACCTCTGTGTTCTTCCTGTAGCGTTATGCCTCCTCTCAGCATCTATTTCTTTTCTGAGCTCACTAATTACAGTGTGGCTTCATTACACTTATGAGAACAAAAATTGTTAAAGTTCATTGTTGTTTCAAGGAGCTCACAATCGCTTGTGTGATGCAGACATAAACATGTGTTACAACTGAGGCACTAACAATGCTGAGGGAGTTCACCCAGCAGAAAGGGAAGCCTAGCAACACTGGAGTAAAATTTTAGAAGTTTTAAATTCAGACTGTATATCTTTCTTGGTAGAAGTTCTAGGCAGTCGTAGCCCATTTTCTGCGCAGAAGAACAGAGGCAGTTCAATTGGAACTCTGGTCATGGTTATTTAAAGTTGTCCTTCTACATGAAAAGTCTGTTATCTAAAAATCCAGGGGCTCCCTACTGGTTTGCTAAGGCACATTGGTGTATTGAGAATCCTTCACAAATGTGTTACCAAAATTTGAAAAATTTGTAAGAATAAAGTTTGCTCTAACTGAGATTGATAGAGATTGAGAGTGAGTAGGTGCTGGAACTGAATGTAGAGTAGGGAACAGAAGGTGGCAAATGACAGGTAAGAAGAATAGTGTCCTGTCAAACCAACACCAAAAAGATGGAGAGTTTGCTGGAACATGTGCAACTTTTGCCTGCAAATATTGAAGAGAATGTGGACAGGGCAGAATTTGATTCTATTTCTGTGGTCAAATGTATTAAGGGTTGGCCAAAGGAATGGGAGAATGGCTGTATGTGCTTTCATAGACACTGTGGCTAAAGACTGCTGACTTTTTAGTGTTGTTTTAGGTCTTTTAATTACTTCAAGTGCCACTAAGAATTAGTATTCAAAAAGTGTCAACACACACGCACACACACATAGTACATGCTGAGAACCACAGTAGTAGTACATTTAAAATGGAAGACTTGTTCCTTTTTCTTATTAGCCTACCAAGGCTTTAACATCTCTCATCTCAAATAAATATCATTTGTTTCCTCTTTATTGAAGCCACAGAACATGAGCACTTATTAAAATCTGAGAATTTTTATTAACTCTTTACAACAGTTTTTTTTCCCCGTTCTTTTCTTTATCTTCCTTTCACAAGCAAGATTATGAGGTTGCTTGATGAGCTTTTAATATTATCATGAAAAATCTCCCCTTGGGCATGTTTGTGCAATAGATAACACAACCTTAAGGGTGTTATTAAAATGAATTTATTCAAATGAAGCAGGCAGACACAAAACCAGCTCAGCTCAGCAGTAAATACATTTCAGAGTCCACTTGTCTTCAACCAGTTTATCTCATTTGTAATAGAGCAAAGGACCACTAGACGGAGCTAGGGCTTAAGAAATCACAGTCCTATGCTGGGTGACTGATGTGACGGGCAGAATGTTATCTTATGGAAGAAGATCATCACCATTACTTTCATTTCAAAGCCTATGCCAGCCTTATCTAACTCTCTGCTAACAGCCGGCAGTCAGTTGTTTACTCTCTGTCTACACAAGATGAGACAAAGGGGGATATTTGTAATGACCCAATTTATTTAGTCACTCCAATGATGATATCTGACCTTGGTACAGTACTTCACAATTTAGAACGCCGTCCCATACATAATCTTGTTTGATCTTCACAGAAACTCTGAGAGATTGCTGGGCAGGAATCAGTTCTTCCATTTTTGAGATTAATAAACGGAGACAGGGCGTCTTTGCAATATATTAGGGTGTGTCAGGATGCTTAACTCAGACAATTGAGGTTCCAGAGTCAGGTTTTTTTCTTCTTATGTTTTTGTGTTGTCTGTTGACCCAGTCTGAAAATTACTAGTAAACTATCAATTCATTCTTTCTGTGGGGCGTAGGCTTGGTCTCCCACCACACCCACTGGGGATATATAGCAAAAAAAGACAGACACAGAGTATGTGCAGGTAGAAATCCACCTAAATAAGTGAACAAAGGAGGGTTATCTTATCCCCTGCCCAGAAACTGTGGGTGCATGTGATTCTTCCTTATACCAGGGGACAGGTGTGAAGATCAGCACCTCATCCTGTGCACTGTGGACTCTCCTTCAAGCCGAGGCTAGGTTAATTAATTAATGCTAAATGCTGTTTGGGAAACTGTCCCCGCAAGCATCGTCCTCAGACCTAAGTCCGCCGTTTTCATGTCTGTCAGGCAGTTTTTTCCTCTTTCCTAACCTCACACACTGAGGTTAAGAGGTTGTGCTTCAGCTAAAGAAACATTATGTATATACACATATACTTTCTTGGCCTTTTGGTAAAATATTTGGATAACAGCGGGAACCAGGCCAGTCAGTCAGAAACTTCATCAGACGCCGGGAGCCCGCATTTGTGCCTACGGTAAAAACAACCCAAGACATCTCTTCTGGAACAAGTCTGCCCTCTTAAAATACTTCATTGAGTGCTGGTAAAACACAAGCTTCAGCATCAAGGCGGGGCAACTTTCGCCAATCAGGCTAACGAAGCCGACGGGAGGGCAGGAAGATGTTCCAAGAGCCTCACAGGTCCCGGGGATTCCGGCCTGAAGCAGAGCAAAGGAAAAGGGTTGCATCACCTTGTTCCCCCAAGACTCGCCGTCACCTTATTCGGGGAGAATCCACCAAGAAAGCTGCTCGCATCGCCCTCCTCTCCACCCGGCCGCGGCGCACCCTGAGCACCTTTCCCGGCTGTACCCAGAGGGTGGCGCTGCCACCCCAGCCTTGGCCCTCTGCCGCACCCCGCTTCCCGGACGCTGCGGGAGCCCCCCGCTCTGCCTCCCGCTCTGCCTCCCGCAGGCCGGCGCGGGGCACACGCCCGGTAGGGGGCGCCGCGGGCCCAGGCGCGGCGGGTCCCTCCGCCCACCCGGA